GGGAACTAGTGAAAGAAAAGTGAAATGGCGTGCTTAAAGATGACCCTCCACATTTAGAGTATGTTTGGCTCAACTTACTGCTGTGAAGCAGGATTCTCCACCATGATATAATCAAAAATAAATATCGATCCAGGCTCAAAATGAGCACCTTGATATGTGCATGAAAAATGCTTTGTCGCCATTCAAACCTTGCCTTGCAGGTCATCTAAATCCCACTGCTCTTATTAAGCCATAAAAAAAGAACGAAAACAAACGGTCATTTGAAGTGTTTTATAAAAATAATTTTAAAAAATTAGGTCAGGAAATAGTCTATATACCAAACTGAAAGATAGTTGTTCTCCAATTAAAAAAAAAAAATTGATTTTAAAATGGAAAAACATTCTATTTTTAATGTGTTATTTAAAGATTCAAAGTATAACATGAATGCATAAACACCTGCATTTTATTTCAGTATTCAATTCTGTTTAAAGTAACTGATTATAATGGATGGATGGATGGATGGATGGATGGATGGATGGATGGATGGATGGATGGATGGATAGATAGACTTTATTCTGGACTCATGGTCCAATAAATTTATAAAATGAAAATAAAACAATACAACGAATAAACTAAGTATACATCTAATAACATATAAAAATATTTGGTTCTAATGATTATTCTTCATCATGTTTTTTAGTTTAATAAAAATAATTCCAAATGAATCTGTTTGGGCTGATGGAGAGGCCGGTATAATGCTGCTGATGTGAGGAAGTTTTAGTTCTGGTTGATACTTTTTCAGTACAAAAAGAATGTTGCTATTTGAAAAGCATAAGCGTAAATCATTATGCATTTACTCCACCGCGTTGCCCAATCCTTCTTTCAACTGAATCATATGTAGCCTCTGCAGCTTTGATGTGAAGTCTTTATTAGTTTTGTATAAAGCAAAGTGTGGAGAATAAATTGAGCCCGAGCTTTCTGTGCATCTCTGGGTCCTTTGTTTTCTGGATTGTAATGGCAAACAAGACACATAGGGGAATAGTAGGAGGAAAATTGTCTCAAATGAAAACACCAGCGAATAACACGAATGTTGTTTTTAGTTTACAGGTATGTTGTGGAGGAAGCCCTGGAGGGACTTGGATAATTTGTTAGATATTTTCTTTTAGACCTGTGTTGTTGTTTGGTCTTTAATTGAATTCCTATTTTATTGTTACAAATCCTCTTTTCCTAGTTTGTACATTTATCTGCTTCCAAGATGAACATTTCTATTTTTAGAAGAGTAGGAGCATTATTTTCCTTTGGTAAGTCTCTTCAACCCTCCTGATTATTACTGCTCCAATTTCTCCTCTCTTCTAAAAGATGGCAATTAATCTAATTAGTTATCAATCAGCCATTGGCCTCTTGCCTCTTCTGTGCTAGTGGAGGATATGACAGATCTTGACTCTGCATTATTAATACTTCCATTTCTGGAGCCCAAGGCCCCCACGACGCCTAATGTTAGGGGGCCATTGATCATGACCGCTACCCATCGAGCTCTGTGAGGACTGTAGGGAAATATCCACTAAGTGGTAGGTGTAGAAATGGGGCGGGTTTGGCTGCTCTACTACAGATTAGTTTCAAAATTAGAATAATTTTTGGATAGAAATTGCTTTGCCAACTTTGCTCCAAGAAAGAAATCAAATTGACACAAAACTCTTGAAAGTGAGACCAGGAGTCCTGGGGGGTATCTTAGGGTAATGTTTGAAGGAGTTGATTGTTTTTTTAGAGGTGGTATTGATGGGAATGTCGGGCTCCAAAACGCTCATTAAGCAAATGTGCCTGGCTTCAAAACTATTACAGCAGGATAAGAGATGCCCTCTGTGGGACTATTTCTTGACAATGAGATTAGGAATTATAGAATCTCACTAACACAAGGGTGCAGTGATCACAGTGTGGCAGCAGAACAGCATTATCCTTCATCTCCTATGAATTCCAAGCACCTCATCTAATAGCTTTAGTAGCTAAAGTTGCAGTGCTTGATAATAATCCCACCTGCTGATCTCATTTCATGTAATCAATACTAGATGCCTCCACAGGCCGGAGTGGAGAACGTCTGAGCCAAGCAACAGACTTAGGCTGAGGGCCCTCTTAATTCGGTGTCCTCTATAGCCACATCTGCTGACAGTAATTTATCTGCCCTGTATGCCAGTGGCACTTAGTCTTGTTGATTATCCGCTCCACATGTTGTTTTTGTTAGCACACTGTTTTGGGGAATTGCTTAAACTTTATTAACGAGGAGCAGCTTCGACCTTTGAAAGGAGTATCTTATGTCTTGATATCTAAACTCATTTTACATATATGAAAGATTTTTGTGACTGTTTAAAAATGTTTTGCATCTTTTTGGGATTTCAAAGGCAAGTCTATGCACATCTATGCCATAACCAAGTATGTAGGGTATTTATGAAAGTAGTTTTTTATTATTATTTATTTATTTTATACTGTTGTAACATTTGTAATTGGAAAATAAACATTTCTTCAAACTTCAGTTAAACTGGTTCGTTACCAGGGTAGCTTGATAAGTTATTGTCTCTTTAGAAGTTTCAATGTGTAAATTATTTATTTGCGTCTGGACGTGTATTTTTTATTCATTTAATAGCTAAGCAAGAAAATATTCTTATCTCAATAGAATGCAGGTTTATAAAACAAACATGAAATTGACCTTGTGTGCAAGTCCTGGGTGGTAAACCCCCAGTGAGTTGCTGCAGATGGATGTTCACATTAAGCCCGGTTCTATTAGAGCAGGCATTCCCAAAGTCGGCCCTTGAGGGCCGCTGTCCTGCAGAAAGTCTGTTAATCAGCAGTCAATTAAAATCGGCTCTGTTGAAACCTGCAGGACAGCAGCCCTCTGGAACCGTTTTTTTGGGCATGCCTTTGTTAGAGACTTTTTTCCCTGTTTAAGGGGAGTTTTCACTGACTGACTGACATGTTGAGTTTTCTTGGTTACAAAACTTTTAACCAATGTATCTGTATGTTTAATTGATTTTCTAAATGACCTTCTTTTGAATTTGTGCTTTATGAATGCAATTAATTGAATCAAAGATCAAGTCCCAGCTCACTCATTTAACGCATAGTTGCACTAATTCATAACCCTCTTTTAAAACCAGTTGCGTATTAATTTAAGTTGATTTTTATTTAAATTAAACTTATTTTCTGAATCTGGTTGGATAAATTTGGCATACCCATTGATGTAAACAGGTCTCCATCTATACCATAAATAAATTGAAGCTTAGATTTTCATCAAGACGTTTCTTTCCTGACCAATATTTATCCAAAGATTGTTGAAATGCAAGAAAATAGTATGAATAAGGTACTAACTTTAGTTTTTAAAGCATTTTTCAATCTCTAATTAATGACAGTTTATTTCTTTGATTCACATTTCTATTCAGATAAACCTTGGTAGCAGATTTGCTGTCAATTATGAGAGGTATTGATCTTAAAGATCTTTTTAAATAAACACTTTATATGTCTTTATAGATGGACATATTTCACTTTATGGTATGCTTTGTATTTATAAGACATTTCCTAATTTGACACAATGACCGTCACATGTCCACCAGCCAGCCACTGGCTCCCCTCCAGTTTTTCAGCAGACAGGTTAAGTCACTGCAAACCGTCATGTTGAAGGTGTCACACAGCTTTGCTTAATTTACAGGGAGTCTGGGGGTGTTAAAAATTTATAGGCCTTCAGTGGCTTTATGGTGCAATGATGTGAGTGAGCGGGTGTGTTCGGCTCACACCAGCTGCAGTTGGCTGCCTCATTCAGGAGGGATTTAGACAGCAGCTCATCGGCTGCGCTGTGTGAGTTGGTCAGTGGACATGCTTGATCCATGGCTAAGGTAGAAGGGAATTGCTCCACAGTGAGGATGCTTCCTCCCTTAAGTTGAGTAATCTGTGGTGGTAGGAGAAAAAATGTGGATCAGGGGGGGAAAAAGGGGGGGAAAGGCTTTTTAGAGGCTTTGTTAGTTACTGGAAAGCCATAGTCACCATTACTCAGCCATTATCGTCATAAACTGCTTTACCATGTGTGGGGTATCGTGGTGGGTGCGGTGGGAATTGCTGAAATCCAATAATGAATTCACAGGAAGTTCATCAGTCACAATATTACTCTTTTTATATGATGTGGTTTTGTGTTTTGGTGGGAGGCTAAGTAAAGGATGCCAGTGCAGGTAGTGTAACACAGAATCTGTGCTATTTGAAACTAAACATAGGTCAAAAGCCCTACATGCTTGAATGCCAGAAAGCACAACCTGTTCATGGTTTTTGCAGCCCCTCTTAATGGACCCGGAAAGGAGATCTACTCACCTTGTTGCACTATATCTGGATGACTAAGAATATTTACACCTACACAGTTTTCTGATAACACTGTTTTTGTTTTGCAGCAAGTTTCCTGCAGCATATCAGCTTCTATATCTTGCATGAACAAACCTGCATAGTGTCAGTTACAAAAACAAGGTAGAGAGAATGTACCCTTTGTTTAACAGTAGCATCGGCATCTCATACCGGGTGCAGCATTTGGTCTCCAGTTCAATCGCTGACAGTCTTGGGAGTTTCAGCAGAGCTTTGGGTTTGTGGAATATATAAGTTGGAACATTCAACCTATTTGTTGTTAGGATCTTAGGCTTTGTATGTTCTTACAAATTGACTCATCCAGAGAAACAAGCAAACTACTCAGACATTACCCCAAAGTCCTAGTGAACCATAAAAATCCTCAGCTCCTTTACCGTCATCGCAAAGTTGGGCCTTTAATCCAGCTCATCCCAGCACATCTGGCTCTCTTTATGGCCTCTCTGCTTGTGCTAGCCGTGATGTTATGACAGTCCAGTGACTGAGGAGATTACACCAAGATATAAGCCCCTCTTCATTGGGCCTCTGTGGGTCGCTAGCCCCCATTTAGACAAAAGAAACAGACCCCCTAAGCAGCAGGTATGTGTGCAGCTGTTCTTATTGTGCATTCTCATGCAGGTTTCTGTTTGCTTTCACAGGAAGTTTGCTGAAGACTGAGCCTTCTTGGAGGGGGATCCTCTAAAGGAGGGTTTTGTGTTTGACGGCCCACCGACCTCGCTACGTTCGTCCTTCACGCAGCAAGAGAGATTGTTACTTTGGAGAAGTAGGAGGAGCAGAGATTGTTGGATCATAGGACGTGACAAAACTGTAAGATCACATGACCTTCTTTTCTCCTCTTGCAATGTAGATTAAATGTCAAATATTTTGTCCTTTTGTTTTTCTACTGTTTGTGCTTTTTCCACATAACAATTTTTAGCATTTGACTTTTCTATTAGTGCCTTAAGTCTATTTAAACTTATTTAACACTACAAGCCATCTTTTAAAACTGTTAAAGCTGAGAGGTCTACAAGAATCTTAGATTAGATAGAACTTTATTGATCTCATAATGGGGAAATTCACTTTTAACATCAGCTCTTATAAACAACAGGATGTGTACAAAAAAGGAAAAGGTGGGTAATGTACAGTGCATTCAGATATATACAGTGGATGGTAAAAAAGTAAAGGAGAGATTTAAGGTGATTTATATATACAGTACCTTGTGTACAGTAAAGTGGTTGTATGTAAAGTGTGGTTTTTGGTTTGTTAAATCGATAAATAGTTTAAGTGAGGTAACTGAAATATGTGAGGGCTTTTATACTGTAGGTGAAGGCACAGGTTATTGCACAGCGTATCAAATGTTTTTTTTTTACAGTAATTGCACAGGTGAGTTTATTTTTCCACCAGATGTCATTATAAGGATAATTCCGAAAACATGTTTAAAACTGTCTGTTGTAGGATTTCGGTAAAGAGTTTAATCATATCAGCAAAATGCAACATCACTATTTATATCAAAGCCTTCTGCCCAGCTTTACCGCTTTCCAATAACTGCAGAGGAGGTTGTATCTGCTTCTGTTTCCCACAGCCGTAATTCTGGCAAATGAAGGTAAATTAAAAAAAATTTGTGCGTGGGAGTGAAAGCATAGCAGTGTTTCAGCTAATGGCTGCAGTGTTTTTCCTTATTGTGTAGCCTGTTCAGGTTCTGATATTGTTCTAGATTGACCCAAAGGCAAACAAAAAACAAAACAGGAGGGTTAACTTCAGTGTCGTCCTTATAAGCTCATATTTTCACTTGCTGAATGTTCACATTGGGTTCTGGTTCTCTCTATTCAAGTTGGCTTTTCAAAGCTTCACTGTTCTGTGATCCCCTCTTTTGGCTGGCTGTGCACACGTGCAGCTCGGGACCAATGTGGAGTATACTGCCTCAGTCAAAATTAAAAGAAGCCCACCATGGTGGCAATGCACTCTGCTGACAGCAGGTAAATATCTCTGCTGATGGCGGATTGACTGTTTGAGAATAAGGTTTTGTTATTGAGCTGCATCTCTGACATCGGGGTGGCATGAGGGCCCCCAGTGTCGGGACCAGTGATGCATCAATGCAGGTTGAATGGGACAGAATGGCAGTCAGTGAGGGTGCACAAGCATGAAACGCGATCAGACCACTGAGTTGAATGGAGGTGTTCTTCTGCCAAATGCTGGAGAAGAGGAGAGGGAGGCAAAAAGAATGAAGGGCATTGCTTTCATATCTTGTCACCCACTCACTTAATAATGCAGGCACTATGTTGCTGCCGCTGAGGAAGAAGCTTAGTTTTGATGTATGAACATTTGCTCAATGCCCACATGCCAGGAAAAAGCTGAAAAGCTCTTTGTGTAGATCATCAAAACATAAAGCAGCTTTTTGAAAAAAATAAAATAAAACGGCTTCTGTTCCAATGTTGCCAGATTTACAGATGAACTTTGATAAACTTTTAAACCTACTGATTTGTTTGATTATAAAGCAGTTTATTGACCTCAGGTTTCTATTTTTTTTATTTTTTATTTTAATATCTGCACGATACATATTTCTCCACCTGGATTTTCAGTCAGGTTAAAGAAAAATGTCTTTAATTTCGAGCCTTGGTTTGAATGCAGCTGACTTGTTTTTTAGTTCAGTCTAAATTATGAATATTTTTGTTTTGGCTTAACAGCTTTTCAGTAAAAAAACACACAGCTGAAGTTTTGATCCAACTTTAAACCCAGATTCTCTCGTGTATCTGTTACACACTGGAGTCCTTTAGATGCTACTTCATTATACTTGTGTCCCCTGTGTATTTTTCACTTGCACTGACCTTTCTCACTGGTTACTTAAAAGGCTTGTGTCTTTGCCTCTGCCCTTATTTTCTTTTTAGTCTTTTTCTCCACATTTTTTTTCCCCAAGTCATGCTCATGTTTAATGTTAAATGAGGGCACTGCCACACTTGGATGTGCTGTGACAAATTGGCACAGAGGAGGCAGATGGTGTTTGGGAGGAGACTGGTTGTCATACCATTTGCTGCAGCGACATGAATTGATCTTTGTGCCGCAGAGAAAACACACATGCTCCACTTGTGTAATCCTGACTTTGGTTACTTTGTGCGAACCCACACAGCACACCCCTATGATCCGCATGCCACCCTATCCTACACATGGCCCCATTAGTATCAATGATATGAGCAGTGGAGGCGCAAGTTTGCTGTCAGAGGGTCTTCGCTTGGATCCGCTCAGAAAACTGAAAACATGCTGAGGGATTTCACAGAGAGACAAAGCTTAGACTAATGGCATACTTCTGGGACTCTGGGAGCTCTAATATATAACTTGCGATAGATGCATAGCATTATTGGTATTCTGTTGATGACAGCAAGCTGTACATGTTTGCAGGCTGTTCTATTTACAGAACTTCTTTTCTTTAACAAAGTTTACCCTCGGGGCTTTAGTGAGACTTGACTTGAGTCCCCCTGGATGTTTTTCACTGCAACATGATTTTTAGTTAGATCATAGTTTGTCTGACATGGAGTGCCATTGCTCATTAGGCTGAGTCCTGGGGATGTGGAAGTGCTTCCCAGTTGGGTTTTCTTCAGAAATGCATGAGTTTGTTTTTTCAACTACGCTAATGGAATCTAAAATCACCATAGACTGCCACCAAAGAGTTATTTGCGCAATGCAAAAGTTAAACTTTAGACTTCATATTGCTAAAGATCTCTAGATCACACTATAAAATTATTAGCATCCCTGCTGATGCTTTGCTTAACCCCCTTTTTGCCAAATGAACAGTCTCGTTTTCCCATATTAATTGTACAAAGAAGCATCATACAGAATATTTTTCTCTTATCAGGTAAGCCTAGTATTTTAAATACTAATAAAGTAATTATTTGTGATGAAATATTTTGTATGCTGAGTTTGCAAATGTTCTTTTCCTCAGCCTGTCAATAGAACAATAAAGATCCATTTTCATTTTTATGTTGGACACCATAGGCCTGGGTAATTTAAGAAGTCCATAATGCCACAAAATTATCAGTGTCTGACAGAAAGGGTTACCCAATGCTACAGCAGAAATCTCCACTATTCTTAACAGCTTGGAAGCATTTAGTCTGATGGAAATTGCTTAACAATCCCTTCAAAAACTACTTTGTGAGTAAAAAGCACTTTTTTAATTTGATGGAGAGTTTTTTAACTCCAAAATCTAATTCTCACTGTTTCGGTTTTACTTACTGCAGGTATAAGCAACTCAGATTTGTGTTATTTCTCATAATTATCCATCTTGACTCATTCAGGTCAACACTCATCTTACTTGGTATGTTTATTTTTTTCTTTCCGAACTGAATACCAATTGAAACATTTTGTTTGCTATTTTGAAAATTCTCTAACACCAAAGGTTCTCCTTGTCAAATTTGAAAGTAAAAGTTTGACACCTTGAAAAATTTAAAAAGGTAAGATGTAATTACTAAGCCTGGGTGTCTTTACTAGTGGTTTAACTTTTGCATTTTCGTATAGTTAGCATTGAGCCTAGAGCCCAATGCAGGGACATTGATGCAAAGATCTGTGATGCTCTGAATTTTTGCAGCAATATATGTAGAACTGATGACTTTCTTCACCCCCAGATGAGTCACAGCTTCTTTAATATTTACCTATTTGGAATGCTCTTGATAATCTTTCTGATAGGTTTTGGGATTTATCTACTACTGGATATTTTTCTTGTACCTTTTTTCAGGTTTTACTGGTATTTTTATGTTTGTATCAATTAATCCTTAAGGAGAAAAACTGAATTAATTGAGCTTCTATTGGAACTCTACCTCAAACATGCCAAGCAGAAGCCAGTCTGATAAGCATACACAGTTATGCTTACATGTCTCTGCTTGAGGATCAAAAAAAGGCCAAATGTTCTAACAGATTTTTCACTGTAAGCATAAAAAAATCTGCAGGCGTTTTACCCAATAGCCAGCGGTAGTATTCACATTCTCTGTATTCATACTGAAACAAAAAGCTTCCAGACCGCAGAGTTTATACCAAATCCGCAGCTGAGTTTAAATAAATCAACCCCTGTGAAAGGAATGAAGCCCTGCCAAAAGAGTAAAACTGGGTCTTCAGTGTCAGCAATCATAGCTACACACCAAACAGCCAAACATCTGTGTCTAAAACATGATTCAAGAGCTGTGGATGGGCGCTGCAGTTAACTTTTCACTCAAATCTCACATCTCTGAACAATTTAATCCTTTTTCTTCTGAAACATTTATTCAATTTAAATAATGAGACAAGGATTACTTGGCCTGCAACCCTCCAGTGCTTAACTCCAGACTGTTTACAATTACTATTTAAATGAGTTAAGGGTCAACAGTCATTTCTTTCCTGTTTTTAAATAAATAAAGGTCATAAACAACAAGATCTAATTTCAATGTTTGTCTGAATATTATGGAAATGTATTTTACTTTTGAATAGCAAAGGATAAAAACAGGATTTATTTTTAAATGGGACACTAACTTTACTGCTTAAAAAAGCAGGAAGGTGAACAGAAGTGAATATATTCTGAAACATATTGCCTCTGAGGGTTTTCCTTCGAGTCAATGAGTCGATGCAATCAGCTGGTTTTTCTTGGATAGAAAACTTTGAATCAATTTGACTGCATGATCTGGTGAATTGTAAAGTTCCTTGAGATTACATGTGCTGTAAATTGGCGCTATATAAATAAACTAATTTGAATTGAATTGAAATAAAAATGTCTTTCAAAAAAAAATTGTACAACAGACACTGTAATAAATGCATTTCAAAATGTGTGTATATATTTCCTGCTTTTATTTAGAAAAATTAAAATCACTTTG